GTTGTCTGACTCATGGAGTGATTACAAAAACAACTTAAAGCACAAACAGAAAAATTTCACTATTGAGGAAATTATGACCCACATTTTAATTGAAGATTCCAACAGAAAAGCATCTGCCAAAGCTAGAATGACAACTCTTAAAGCAAACTTAGTGCAAATAAGAAAAAACCACAAAAAGGTATGAGAATAAGTCTCAAGGTTACAAGCCTAAAAATTCTAACCTTAAAAGAAAACAAGGCTCTTGTTTTGTTTGTGGAAAACTAGGCCATCATGCCTCACAATGTAGGTACAGAGCAGGAAATGACAACGGAAAAACTAATACTCCTAAGGCTAACTTAGCCGAAGGAGGTGATATTATTACAGCAGTCATTTCTCAAGTAAACATTGTAGCACATGCAAAAGAATGAGTGATAAACTCTGGGGCTACTCGGCACATTTGTGCAAATCGAGAAGCATTTTCCTTTTATACTTCTGTAGAGGATGATAGAGAAGAGGTCTACCTTGGAGACTCAAGTACTACCAAAGTCTTAGGTAAGGGTAAAATTCTCCTCAAACTCACTTCAGAAAAAACTTTAGCCCTTGTTGATGTGCTGCATGTTCCTACTATGAGGGCAAACTTGATCTCTATATCCTTGTTGGAAAGAGCCGGAGTGAAAGTGTCATTTGAATATGATAAGATCATAATGACCAAAAATAATGTGTTTGTGGGAAAGGGCTATTGTAACCAAGGTCTCTTTGTACTTAATATTTCTGATGTTATCAATGGAAATGTACCTACTTCTGCTTATATGGTTGAGTCTATTTCTCTATGGCATGCTAGACTTGGACATGTTAATGTCGCGTATATAAAGAAAATGCAGTCACTAGGATTAATATCTGGTTTAGACTCAAATAATATTGACAAGTGTGAAATATATGTTGAAGCTAAAAGTACCAACAAGACTTGTTTTTCTGTAAATAGAGAAACTGAATTATTATCCTTGATTCACACGAATCTAGGTGATTTAAAACAGACTATGACTAGAGGTGGTAAAAGATATTATGTGACTTTATTGATGATTTTTCTAGATTTACTAAGTTGTATTTGCTTAGAAATAAAGATGATGCATTTAATGCTTTTATGTCTTATAAAACTGAGGTTGAAAATCAACTTAGTAGAAAAATCAAGAGAATTAGATCTGATAGAGGTGGAGAATATTTATCTTTAAATGATTTTTGTGAGAAGAATAGAATAGTTCATGAAGTAACTCCGCCTTATTCACCTGAGTCAAATGGAATAGCTGAAAGGAAAAATAGAACATTGAAAGAGATGATGAACTCTATGTTAGTTACTTCTAATGCTCCTGATAATTTGTGGGGTGGAGCTATTTTATCTATTTGTTACTTACAAAATAGAATACCACATAGAAGAACTGAAAAAATTCCTTATAAATTGTGGAAGGGTTATAAACCTAACTTGAAATATTTAAAAGTATGGGGGTGCCTTGCTAAAGTTCTTTTGCCTGAACTTAAAAAGAGAAAAATAGGTTCTAAAACTGCCGATTGCATGCTTATTGGATATGCTGAACATAGTGCTGCATATAGATTTCTTGTTTTAAAAAGTGATGTGCTTGATTACAACACTATAATTGAGATAAAGAATGCTGAGTTCTTTGAATATATTTATCCATTGTCTGATAAAATTTCTCATACACCTGTTGAAACAAATAGTGAAATTACCTATAATGAGGAACTGAGAAGGAGTAAAAGACATAAGAAAGAATATTTTTCATATGGAAATGATTTTCAAACTTTCTTGTCGATAATGAACCATCAAATTGTTTTGAAGTTATATCTTCTTCAGATGCTAAATATTGGAAAGAGGCAATAAAAATTGAAATTGATTCTATTAAGAAAAAATAATACATGGATTTTAACTAATTTACCTCCTGGCGCAAAACCTATTGGTTGTAAATAAATTTTCAAAAGAAAATTTAATCCTGATGGATCTTTAGATAAATATAAAGCTCGATTAGTAGCAAAAGGATTTTCTCAAAAATAAAATATAGATTATTTTGATACATTTGCACCAGTGACTAGAATTTCTTCTATTCGAGTTTTAATTGTCTTAGCTTCAATCCGTAAGCTTTTTATCCACCAAATGGATGTGAAAACTGCTTTTCTAAATAGTTATTTAGAAGAAGAGGTTTATATGGTTCAACCTGAAGGCTGAGTCATTCCTGGACAAGAAAATAAAATTTGTAAATTAATTAAATCTCTTTATGGCCTTAAACAAGCTCCTAAGCAGTGGTATGAGAAATTTAAACAAGTCTTACTGAGAGATGATTTTTCTTCAGTTGAGGTAGATAAATGTGTTTATACTAAAGTGGTAGACATGAATATGTGATAATATGTCTGTATGTTGATGACATGCTTGTATTTGGTACAACTTTAAATATTGTGCAAAGTACTAAATTATTTCTGTCTGCTAATTTTGATATGAAAGATCTGGGTGAAGTAAATATGATACTGTGAGCTAAAGTTATAAGGAGTGAAGACGGCATAATGTTGTCACAATAATATTATGTTGAGAGACTTCTTACAAAGTTTGAATATTTTAATGTCACACTAGTGAGCACTCCTTTTGATGCTAATTCTCAGTTGAAAAAGAATAATGGTGACCTAGTTGCTCAGTCTAAATATGTGCATAGTATTGGGAGTCTGATGCATTTAATAAATTTTACAAGGCCTGATATAGCCTATGCAGTGTGTAGACTGAGTAGATATACTTATAATCCTAACAAAGAGTATTGGTCTGCATTAGCTAGACTAATGAAATATTTGAGAGGAACCATGAATTATGGTATCCTATATAGTGGATTTCTTTCTACTTTAGAAGGGTACAATGATGCAAATTGGATCTCTGATTCAGATGAGACAAAATCCACTAGTGGTTATGTATTCACCCTTGGTGGTGGTGCAATATCGTGGAAATCAGCTAAACAGACAATCATTGCTAGATCGACTGTGGAATCAGAGTTTGTAGCTCTGGAGTTAGCTAGTTTTGAGGCCAACTGGCTAAGAAACTTCTTAGCTAATATCCCTTTAATAAAGGACGCATTGCCTCATGTATCTATGCAAAGTGATTGTCAAGCGGCAATAGCTATTGCAAAGAATAAATCTTATAATTGTAAAAGTAGACACATGAAATTGAGATATGATGTCATAAAACAGTTGTTGAGAGATGGAATAATTTCCATTGACTATGTGAAGTCAGAGATAAATTTGACCGATCCTCTAACTAAACCCGTGGGAAGAAAATTAATTCTTTAAACCTCAAAAGAGATGGGGTTAAGGACGGCATGCTGTCAATAGAGATGACAACCCAACCTATGTGATTGGAGATCCCATGAAGTAGGTTCATATGGGTAATAACAAGTCGATATTGTCACTGAAGCACTAAAAGAGAGTGTTTGACTGCTACTAATTGAGAGGCAGAGTTATAACTCTTAATGAAATTCATAGTCCTTATGAATAGTGTATTTAAAAGCAGTATACACTTGATGAATTCACCTATATGAGAGTGGAGTGGGCCGCTCCTATGAGATGTTGGCCTAGTCTTTAGAGCTTTCATGAATAACCAGGCACGCGCATGGCCTATTGGGCGCAAAACCGCGTTGAACAACAAAATTACCGTGGGTCAAAATGTGATTGATAAAATCTCTGACTTATAATAAGAATTATTGGTTCATAGAAATATTACATTTTACCAGTAGTTTTGTAAGTTAAGTTTTATTGGTCTAAGTTTGGTTCATAGTCCAGAAGACACCAAACCTATTACATTTGGACCATACAAATTCAACAAGTTTATTTTTGGGTCTTTAAAATTGTGGGGGACTGTGACAATATTTTAAAGGTTTTGGACAAGTGTCTTAGCCATTCTAGAAGGCTATGATAAGTGGCAAAAGAAGTGTAAAAAGTGGCAAACTTGATCAACCACTTTCTTGCCATGCACAACAAAGGTACATGCAATTACAATTATAAATAGCCATCATTTGGCTGCACAATTCATGCACCATCAAAAGTGCTTTTCTACTTAGCCTTCTTCTCTTTCTCTCTTAGTTTCTCTTATTTCTAATTTTTCTTGTATTTTTTTTTGTTTTATTCTCTTTTCAATCTTGTTGGATTATTGTAATATAAATATTTTGCCGATTCCTGTATCCTCTAAATAAAATAGAGGTATGCTTGTTTAATCCTGGAGAAACATTTCACACTGCTGAAATAGTTTCTTAGGACAGTGCCCATCATGACTCAAGCTAATTCGTGTATGTACTTACAAAGAATATTGAAACAGTATTATTGAAAGTCTTGGTCTCAATTACTACAAAAAAAGGTCAATTAACAACATTAATCAAAGAGAAAAGAAAAAGATTCATTTTAGGTGCGCCATAAAAGATTTAAATCAATTATTTAAGTTTAAACATATTGATAGTGTTAAACTAACTTAATTAATTTAACAAGTTACTCACCATTTTTTTCAATTATCATTTTATGCTTCCTATAAACAACAATCCATAGTAAGCTTCTAAGTCATATAATAGTGTAAAAAATCTTTTGTTATTTAAAATTAAATTCATTTAGAAAAGCTAAATAGCCAACGAACTACAAATTTAAAGAACAAATCGTTCCCTGTTATGACTGGACTTTATTTATTTATTTGTTTGAACCATTGGCTGAGGACTTGAGGTAAAAGAGCTTTCTATTTTGGTGTATGTTAACCATTAATTAATAAGCTATCATATTTCTGGTGGAATATTTTAAAATGCTCTTTTCCTTTTCTCAATAGAAAGTAAAATGTGTTTTTTTTTCTTTTTCACACGGTTAATAAGAAAATTAAAAGAACAAAAGTTTAATTGGGAATTGGGACGGTAGTTCATTTGCATAGAGCGGGTCGGAAAAATAGAACTGCTCGGGTCGGGTCAGGAGATTCTATATAAATGCCGAAATTTTGCCGCTATTTCAATAAAATTCAAATAAGAAATCAGTAGCAGATGAATATGTGATCGAGAGAGAAGCTTCAACACGGAAAATACGTGCTAGCGTTCAATTCCTTAGGAAACTTACATTTCGCCGCTGCCAGATTTCGAAGTCGTGGAAGGTTTTGTGGAATTTGTACAGCTTTATATAGGTTTCGTACGTCGCGATTTGGATTTACGATTTGAATTTAATTTCAAATGCGTTATTTCTTCGTCTCTGATTTTCAGGTTATTCCTACGCTTGAGATACTCATCGCCGATTTATAAACTCTAAGTTCCGATTTTGCTAGTATTCCAAATTTGTAAGTACGAAGCAAAATGAATTTCGCTGTGTGTGTGTGTTTTCTGTAATGTTTTGTTGATTACGTATATATTTCTTCTAGGTTCCGGTTTTTGTTTGTCTTCTTCTGGTTATTAAAGAGCATTTCAAATTCTGTAAGTGCGAAGCAGAATTCTCGCTGTGTGTGTGTGTGTGTGTGTGTTTTGGGTAATATTTTGTTGTTTACGTATATATTTCTTCTAGGTTCTGATGCTTGTTTGTTTTGTTCTGATTATTCAGGAGTATTTCAAATTTCGTAAATATGAAGCAAAATGAATCTCACTATCTGTGTTTTTATTTATTTTTAAATTATTATTATTATTATGGTAATATTTCTGCTTCATTTTCAGGTTTCTGATCAAAAGTATTGTGGATAAGCCAGTTATTGAGCTCATCTGAAGGTGAAATTTTTTTGCCTAAGCACTTGATATTCTTATTATCTGTTTCGCGGTTTGAAAAGTATAGGACTGAGGCGTTGAGATCATATTTCCAACTTGTTTGGTTCTGAGACATAGTAGTAGTAGTAGTAATAGTAGTAGTTGTAGTTGTTGTAAACTGAGAGCGTTTTACACTACCGATGTAGTTTAGTTGATAGCTGGTTAATATCTTTTACAGTTTGTCAATTTATATCTATTATATACAGTTACCTATTAGTTGGCTTTAGTTGGTTTTAAGCACCAGATAGTTTAAAATATTTTCTCTACCATTTTTGAAGAATTTGCTGTGCAACTGCATTCTGGCTAATACTTCTGTTTACCTGAATTCTTTAGTTATCTTGGTTCATGCGTAATCATAATGTTTTTCTTTATAGAAATTTGAGTATTCATCACCATGATAAACTCTGATTTTTCAACACATAAGCAGCAGGCAATTTCAAGTGATAGTTAGCTAGTCTATGCCAGTTATCAAAACTAGTTTTGTCATTTTTGTGTTCCCAGTTAGTTTACTTCAGCTAGAGGTTTCAGTTATTGGATATTCTAGCTGCCATTAGGCAGTTCTTCTTTCAAATCAAGAATATTTGAAATTGGATTAGCCAGCTATAGCTGGCTGTTAGTGGATTGTATCTTTCTGTAACTTGAGATGCAAAGGCTGTTCTGCAATGTTGTCGACTTTGCTGTAGGGATAATTTAGTCATTTCTTATTGACTATTCTGTGTCTATATCCATAGAATGCATTGGATCAGAATGTTACGCTCCGAATTTTGAATGATTCCAGAACTTTGTAGTGCTATGAAATTGACAATCATCTTTGAATGTTGAGATGAGATGCAATGCTTGCTGGCGAGAACTGGAAGGACAGGCCATCACCACCACTTGTGGCCACGTGTTCTGTATCCTAGTTTTATATGTATTCCATATAGACATGCATATGTTCTGTGTGTGTTCCAGCCCCCAAGAGAATGTCTTAGCTGTCCAAGAACTAGAGTTACAATCTTGGGAATCAAGTTCTGAATCCAACAGAGGTGACACTAAGTGAATTCTTCCATTCTTCCAATCTCTTGGTGGCAGAATTATCCGTTACCTATATTAGTGGGAGGTAGCATGTACTGATGGCATATTCGATGCGTGGAATCTGGCCTGGTACCACCATTATCCTAAAAGAGAAAGAAATTTTGTTTTCCATGCAGAAATATATTTTTTGTGCAGTTTCCTCATGGATATGATTTTGGTGTACAACTGCTATGATTCCTTAACAATGTTAATAGGCCCGAATGATGCTAGTAAGATTCTCGGCAATGATGCAGCTTGTCCTATCTGTGATCAAGTTCTGTCTAAAAGGTTAGTCCTATCTAATATCACCTTATGGTTGAAGTTTTGTTTTGGTCACCTAAAGACGATGATTTCGCAAAAGGTATATAACTATATCCTAAATTTGCTTCTTCTCTAGCTTCTTGTCCCTTTCTTCTTTTGATTCATTATTCTAGATCTTTTCTTTCTCCTTCCTTTTTTGTCGGGAGGGGGTGGGGCTTATGACACTTCCAGAAAATTGTTTTTGTTTTCCACTGCTAAATTTGGTATGGTAATTGGTTTTCTTTTGCTTTTACTAGCATTATCTAATCACTCAAAGTAATGTGTGGCATTTTGTCGAATTGGCTATCATGTAATTAATTATCTGACGTTTTTGCCTCAGTCTCATGAAACCTGTGGATGTCAATCCAAGTGATGAATGGACAAATGTAAGCATACATCCATGAAAGGATTGCTCCTTTATCACTTTTATAGTTCCTGTGACCTAATCATATTTGTTTCTCACACATTTCATCATCAGCATCCTAGTTAAAATTTGTTCACTCTCATGCAGATGGTCATGACTGGAATATCACCACAGATATGTATCCTTCATAGTGCTGTGTTGCAACATATGTAATATTCAGTTTTACTTTTAAAACATAGTGAAGTTGGGTTAGTTAAATTAACGTACTACTTTGCAAATTGGATTTAGCGTAATAGCACCTTTCAGAAATGGTATTTACATTAGCTTCATTATTTTCTCCTTAACCATACCCAGTAATGAAGAGTGCCTACAAAAGTGTGACGTTCTACATTGGGCAAAAGGAATTGGAAATGCAATTCAAGGTGAACAAGTTAGTCGCTCAATACCAACAGAAATGTGAGATGATGCAAGAGAAATTCGCTGAAAAGTTTGAGCAAGTGCGTACTGCATACCAGAAAGCGGCTAAAAAGTGCCAAATGCTTGAACAAGAGATCGAGAGCTTATCTAAAGACAAGCAGGAACTCCAAGAAAAGTTTGCTGAGAAATCCAGGTTCTTACAGTTTTTAACAGAGATTCTATTTGTCCAAGAAAAAAAAAAGAATTCCAATGGAACTGCAAAAGTGTGCTCAAGTTATCCACTATAATCTATTGACTGAGGAGGTTGCAAAGTGTGCGGTGCTTTACTACTGGAATCCACTATCTTTGGCACATGCTCTCAGAATTAACATAAGTCCATGTTGTCAGGCAAAAGAGAAAACTTGATGAAATGTATGATCAGTTGAGAAATGAATATGATTCAGTAAAGCGCTCGGCCATTCAGCCAAGTAATTTCTTTTCAAGGACAGAGCCTGATATGTTCGCAAATCCTGCTAATATGATGGACAACAGAGATCATATGGGAAAAGGTAATCATTTTATTTTAAGAATAATCACATGGCATATGTGAGGTTGGTGCAGTTTGGCAAACTAGATTTGTTCTTCTTAGTGTATGAATACTCATTGACAAAATTCTTTGCATTTAAAAGATGAATTATACTTAGTATTTGAACACTCAATTGTCAAAATACTTCGAATTTTGGATATTTCGCTCTCAAAACTGCACTAACCTTTGAGCAAAGTATTAGTTGACTCATTTGTCGCAGATTGGTCGGTCACTCCTGAAACTCCAGGACCAAGAGAAGACATATGGCCTCCAGCAAGAAAGAATAGTTCCAACTCTGGCCCTTTCGATATCTCGAGTGGATCCCCTGCAAGACAATCAGCAATACCAGTGGATACTGGAAATAGAAGAGCAAGTGCACGTCCTATGCTTGGTGTTGGAACTGGAGCAAGCAATCCCTCACAGACCCTTAGGAATCTCATCCTTTCACCAATTAAGAGACCTCAGCTCTCACGCAACCGACCACAGATGTTCACGTAAGCCACAAAATTTACATCCAATAACCTGAGATATCAAAAGCTGAATTCTTAAAAAAATTGGTTTTCCAGGTTTTGAAGTCGGGAGATCTTTCAATTTCAATAGTGTGGAGAAATATATACTGAGATGCAACAATGGATCAGGTTTCCTGACATTTTACAGTGGGAAACTTTGTTTTGTGAATTAAAGTGCCAGATATTGGTATGCTTGCTGACTTTCCTTAGTGGCGGAAAAACTAAATATAAATCATATGGAGTAAGGTTTCATAGTTTACAGACAAGTGGATGATATGAGTTACAGTTTAATAGCTGCAACTTCTCGTATACTACTTAAGTGTAGGGTTCTAATTCCTCTAGAAGTCTTCTCTTCTTCTATCTTCGTTTCACCCTCCTCACTTTTAAATAATTTGGGCAGGATATTACCAGTCCCATATATAGTACTTCCAGGTGGACTCCACAAAAACTAATTCCAAATCTGGTTACTTTTTTGTTTCTTCCTAAATGTAGTGTCTAGGGGGTGTTTAAAACCTGTTCTAGCGTGATCTTCTGAAATACTTCAAAATATAAGTCATGTTCATTTTTGACTGTTTTAGCATCATTAGTTTTATGTCAACAGATAGTGTCTAGAGGTAATTTTCTCGTGATATAGTCTAAATGGACTTGATTCCTTGTGCTTGGGTGCTGCTGCTTTGGTTCTTAAAATTTGACAACATTTAATTAGGATACAAGTTTATTGTGTTGATCAGCTTTCCACTGTAATGAAACTCTGCTGGCTCACATATATGTAATAAATCAGCACCAGTAAATTCATTCTTATTTGAAGAGTTGGTGAGATTTTGCCAGCAAATTACTAGTATTAGTTTTGTCACTCTTTGCTGTAAATTACCTGTACTCTTTAGAATTTTATGAAACGACACTCCGTTCCTAGTACATAAACGTCAAACAAATGGTTTAAGGATATAAACTGACAGTGCTTTGCCTTGTCATCAATTCAAAGAACATCTATTAGACTTCCAGATGACATGCGGGTAACTTACAAAAGCATATTTTGGTATTATATAATCTCGTGATATCAAGTGGGAAGGCAAGAAAAACTTTCAAAAATGGAGCTTTCGGGGCAATCTAGTGATGGGCAAAAACTTATTTGCATCTAATGGTTACACAAATATTATTAATTTACCACGATCAACATATGCAGACCAAATTAGCGAAACTTAAATGCAATATGCCAACATGCATTCAAGCTATTTATACGTAGATTTGATACTACAGTCCGTTACGCAACGCCTTCCTGATGTTCTTTGGAAGGGCAACGTAAGGCTAAGCAACCGATGTCAGTGCGATTGCTGTCCGCCAATGAGGTCCCCTCCGCACGCTAGACTAGATTGTCAGTGCCGTGCGGGAAAACCAATGTCACGAGCAATTGCGGAAGCTGAGAGAGAATTGGGTTTTGAATGATGATGATGATTTTATTGATGACTGAAATGCTGATTACAAAAGATGCGGTGTCGAGGGGGAGAGACACCAGAAAATGGCTTGTTTGAAAATGTTTGATTGTTTGGTCCCCCTTAATAATCNAGCCAAGACCACGGGGCCGACCATGGCGCTAGGCATTGTGAAGCTTGCTAGGCCTCCATGGGGCACGGCCAAAGGGTCATGTGGCGTGTCTGGAAAGCAGTTCATGACATTCTCCCCCACCTGAGTTGGCACCGTCCTCGGAGCCTTATGATGATGATGCTTCTGGTGGTTGTTGGATGGGAGGTCTGCGCCCCTCTGTTCTGTGAGCTTGCTGTTGTAGCGACGCAATGATTTCATGCAGCTGACATGGAAGACTGGATGGATCTTCCGCCAGGATGGAGTTTTCACTTGGTATGTGGACTTCCCAATGCGTTTTTCAATGGGCAGGGGCCCAATGTATTTTTGTTGTAGGCGAGGGTCATGGGTCCCNCCAATGTCTGGGGTGGTGAGTTGATAGCCTTGATGCGGCCTTTGCTCTTTTGCACAACAAGACCCAGGCGCTCTTTCAATCCAATCTCTTATTCTGATGTTTGATCGCAGCAAACTCAACCTCACACAACGGTAGGAAGAGCGGGCGCTAAGACTTTTACCCGATAGTGGTATCGGGGTCAATTTCCACAGGGAGCTTGGAATGGAGTTGCGTATTTGTTCAGACTAGGAATGCGTGCTTGATCCTAATTTTACTTCTAAATTTTTTTGAGGTTTTTGTTTAATAACTACTATTATCAACTACAAATTTAGGCTATTTTATGCTAAAGGGGTATGTTCTAAGTTGTGATTAATATAGAGGAAGGCACTAGGGTCGTGGCATCACCTAGGTGGTTAACTAACAGGTAGAGACTACTAATAATAGATTGACAGAGTTGGGATCAATGTTATAACCGTTGCACAACTATACCCACTCTCACACCTCTCAGTAGTGAGAGCGATTTTGCCCAATTGACTCTCGCGAGACCAATTGGGTAGGCCAATTAGACCAAGCAACTAGGGTTCAAGTAGGGTGATTACTCTCTCGAGGTTTAACCCGTTAATTGAGACTACCATTTCTCATGGGTCCACCCTAATTCCTTGTTGGGTCAACTTTGAGATCATAGACTCTCTTTCTCAAGAAGAGTCAAGACCCACTACGCTAGAATCAATGTTTGCAATCATCAATCCTTTATTAAACCATAAAATTAACCCAAATAACAAACACCCTGTGAGCACGTGATTTTTGCCTCATACGAATTACTCCAAAATAATTCCCAAAATTAGGTCTTTTCTTTAATTATGTGTTATTTTTAGGAAATATTGTGCGATTTTCCTGTTTGTTTGCATAGATCTGTGTGCATGTTTAATTTTATTAATGCATTAAAAATACAAAAAATATAGAATTTGCATTTAGGATTGGATTTTTATATTTTTGGAATTAATTAATAATTAGGTGTTTTACAAAAAATGAAAATTCACAAAAATAACATATTATTTGTATTTTGGTCAAATTGTGTGATTTTCTTTTAATTTAAGTGTTTAATTATTTGTGATGGGTGTTATTTAAAGTTAATTAATATTTTAAAGTTAACTTAGGTCTTCTATAATTTAATTTAGGATCTTTAAGTTTAATTTTTGAGAGAAAAAGAAGAAAAGAAAAGAAAAAGAGTTAATAAGAAGAGAGGAAATCAAATTTGGGCCAGAAGATCCTCAAGCCCAAACAAAATCCGTCCAAACCCATGCCAAACCAGCCCAGACCCGTCTACCATACCTGGTCCACACCCACCAGAACCAAACGACGTCATTTGGACACGTTTCAATCTGGACCGTTGATCTCAGCCGATCAAACGGTCCCAAAGCTTTGCCCATTACCCGACCCTGACCCACTTCATCTGAGACCGATCCGGTCTTTACATCACTCAAACGACGTCGTTCAAATTAGTCAGATGATCCAAGCCATTGATCTTGTTTGATCGAATGGCCTGGATCCAATCTCACCCCAATATATATTTGACCAAACAGACCCCACCCCCCTCAGTCACCCTCGTCTCTCTCAAATTCCCCAAACCCTAGAGGTCCGCTGCCCTAATTTCCACTGGTTGTCGCCAGCGGCGCCGGCTCTGTTAGCCACCAAACTCACCCCCAGAACCCCCTTGATCCCCTCTTTCATAATTCGTAGTTAGTTTCCCTCGAACATCCCTAGAACGGTTCGAATCTAGATTTAAAGGGACGAACCCTAGCAACCGCCACCATTCACCACAGCCTTCCAGTGGCGGCGCCGACTCCAATCCTTCCCAAATTAACACCCCTAAGCCTTCTAACCACCCTCAGCCTGAATCCCCACTCCGTTGTCCTCGAATCATCACCGGCTTCTTTGAATCTTCGATCGAAGCTCAGGACCCAAAACCCTAGTTCATCTAATGAACCCCAAACTCACACCAGCTATCCACCTAACCTCCCTCATGCCTAAAACGCCCTTGGTTTGGCTCGAACCTTGCCAGAACTGTTCGAATCCCAAATCAAACAAACAGAACCCTAAAAAGGCCAAACCTGGAGTCTGTCCGAAAAGAAAACAAAAAAAGAAAAAAAGAAATTGGGGTCTCAATCGACTTTAGTCGAGTGTTCTTAGTCGAGAACACTCGATTAAAGTCTGTTTTTACCCCAAAAGGCTCAAGTCGGAGTTACGAGCAGAGCGAGTGAGATATAGGTCTGAGTTCGGAGGTATTTCTTCTGTTTCTCTGTTTGTTTTTCATGTTTTGTTGTTTTTCTGTTTAAGATGAGTTGGAATTTGTCTTTTTATCGATTATTCTTTCCTTCTCCATCAGAACTTTTTATTTGGTCAAATTTGTTTATGTTATTTGTTGTGAATAATTATAGGCTGTGTAATCGATTCGAATAAGTTCGTCGATTAGTTGTTTTATTATAAGCCTCTGTTCTTGTCAATGCCGATTGAAATTGCCTAATTATCTATTTTTAGATTGATTGTTATCACTTGTTGTAGGTAATCGGTTAATTAGTTTTCGTCGATTAATTCGTTCTTGTTTGTAAACCAATAAGTTCGTCAAATGGTTGTTGTGTATGCTTGATCTTGGACACTTAGCTTCAGGGCATTGTCAATAGGCTGACAATGAACCTTCATTCATGTTCATTTTTTGATTCAGTTTTCAGTTTCAGTTATAATGATTTTGTTGAGTTCTGTGTTGTGATTTAAATTCAGTCCATGGGATTCAATGGGAACTCAACCTTAATCATTCATTTGTCAATAAGTTTGGTTATAGCTGTTAGTCATATTTAGTTTTTAAATCTTTGTTAGCTTGAACAGATTTCAGAATTAAAAGTTTAAATACAGTTGAATAATTGTATTAGGGGCAGTAATACTAAGGGGTTTCAGGGGTGATTTGGGAATGAAACAGTTAAGATAATATTTTAATGTTAGTGTTTTGTTAGTGGAATATTAATGTCTTTAGATTAATATGGTAATGGGGAACAAAAGGAAATGGAGGCTGAAAATAAGGAAAAGTTTTCCTTAGTAGGTTTTAAGTGAAAAAAATTCAGATTTTAGTGGGAAAAAGGGGTCGGGCAGTAGTTTTAAAAGGTAAGGCAGGTCTGTATAAGAGGGGAGACATTCAGAGAGAGAGGGGGCATTCGAAAAAAAGAAAAATATTGGAAAAGGC